CGGCCCCGCGCGGAACGGGCCCGGGCTGGGGCCGCGCAGGCGGGATCGGGCCTCAGTCCTGGGGGACGGGGTCCCTGGCAAGGGAACAGGGCCACGCACCCAGCCCCTGGTAAGGGGACACGGCCCCAGTAGGGGAGGGGAGTAGGAGGAAGGCAGGGCTGCACGTACCGAACAGGGCTCCCGACGAGGGAAGAGGACCACACACCCGGGGACAGGGCACCAGTCTAGGGGGGACCAGATCCCTGACCAGGGGACAAAGCCACATACACAGGGAGAGGGGCCATACACCCAGGAACAGATCCCCAGAGCTGGAGACAGTGATGCACTGGGGACAGGGCCCCAGACAAGGGGACAGGGCCACATACCCAGGGACTAGGGCATAAAGCCAGGGCCCCTCTCTGCCTCCTGCCCTCACCGCCTGCCTCGCCTCCAGGGAAGAGGAAGGTCCATTACCTGTTTGAGGATGGCAAAGAGATGGCCGAGGAGTACGACATGAAGACGGGTCAGCTAGTGAGTAAGTGACGCTCTCTGCTCGTCCCTGGCTGGGGCATCTTGCCGTGGTGGAGCCCGGAGCAGGGGGCTGCCCTGCGTGCGTGGCAGCGGGGCTGCGCTCGCGAGCCTTGGTTGGTCTTGAGAAGGACCTGTGGGGTAGGGACAAGCTGCTCCCAACTGGCCCAGAAGACAGTTCTGGCTGAAGCTCCACTGAAGGCTGTAGGGAGGTAGGTGAGGTCCAGCTCAGGCCTAGGGTGCTCCCAAAGTTTGGGCTGCTCTCTTTCCCAGCTATCCCCTCGCTTGCAGCAGACTCAAAGGCACTGAGTGGGATGGCCCTCTCAGGTTGTAGCACGTGCTGGGGTGAAATAGGCTTTTTGGCAACTTCTGCAACCACAGATGGGCAAAATGTTTGTTTGGGTGTTATCCAAAACCACATCAGCTGATATGTGGCACCTACTGCAAACTCCCTGTGGGTTCTGCACTGACTAGCAGAGAAGAGAAACAATGTGTACTAGGTTCCTGACTTTAGGAGTGGGCCAGTTAACCAATCCACTTACACCCAAGGGAAATGACTGGAATTTAGTGAAAAAGCATATCATAATGCATTGGGCAACTCACTGGAGTACTTTTTATAGAATAGAATAATAAAAGCCTCCTTTCTCCTTTCCACAGGTAGAAAATGGCGTGAAAAGAATGCCTTGGGGGGCTTCGGCTCGTGGCAGATTGAGGTGGGAGATCCAACCTCGCCTCCCATGGGAGCACTGGAATCAGAGCTCATAAAGGAGAGCAGCTCCAATGTAAGGGGGCTGCCAGCACCACTCCACCTACAAACACCCAGCCATGTGCTTACAGCTGTAGCTGGTAGAGTGCAGGCCACTCACAGTCCCAAGAGACAGCCTGAGGCAGCCTAACACTCTGCTGCAAACCATCCCTGATGGGGGGAGTGGGGCAGAAAGAGGGCATGTAGTGTTTTTGCATTGTTGTTTTGGATTTTGGGGGAGGCGGGGAGAGAGAGGGAGTTCTCTAAGAGGTTTGTATTTTCCTCAAGTAGAGAAACAGTCAACATTTCATGGTGACTATGTGAAATATGAAAAGCTCAGTCTCTCTGTGAAATCTCTCAAAATAGCACAGAAAAAAGGGCTAGGGAAAAGAGGACCCAGCTGGAGGGGCCTCACTAAAGGTACTTGTTTGCTGCAGCCTGTCTTCATGAGGAAGGATACCCTGACCAGCTTCCAGTGGCGCATCCGTAACCTGCCCTACCCCAAGGAAGTCTACAGTGTCTCCGTGGAGAAGGAGCAGCGCTGCTGTGTTGTCCGGACCACCAACAAGAAGTCAGTAAGGAGAGCACTGCCCCTGCTCACAGCCCCTGGGGTGGGCTGGCACAGAGGCCAGGCTAGTGCTTGCACAGGTTCTAGTATGCAAGGACTGAGCAACCCTAGCCAGCGCATACAGCTGAGTGTCTGCTCCTGTCCAGCTTCCACTTCTGGGCACTCTAGACTTGGTTTTAGTAAAGCCCTGCAGCTCTGTGCTGACCCTTGTCAAGGTGAAGCATCCTGCTCTAGATGGAGCATTCAGATGACACTAGTGTAATCATTTTTCAGAATGCACATTGCTGCAGAATTCAACAGGTAGAGTATCAGGAATGTGGGCATCCATGGAGACCTCCCCCCAGAAACCTATCCTGTAGTATAAGGCAAAAAATGCGATTTAAAAAAAAAATCTTGAAAGAAAGCACCACAATATGTTACAGAAGGAATTTGAGATAAGAGCAAAAAATGGCTATTAAACATCATCTTTTACAATGTCATTGCATAGCTGTTTACCCATGGAATGAGAGACAGTGCCCCAAAGATTTTATAGCCTCAAATGTAGGGCAAACATGAGCTGTGGTAATGGGAAGGAAGAACAAGGACTAGAAGGAGAACAAGGGAGCTTACTGGAAACTAAGTAAATGCCATTTACAAATTGGGGTATTAAAACAATATGCAAAGATGGACAAGCTGCTCTCTGCTTGCCTCCTTTTCCCAGTGTGGATGTAAAATACAGAAAAATGAATCATGGATAAAAACCACGCTGGTTACTTTCCAAGCTTTATGCTGCCCTTTCAGCTACTCCTCGAAGCTGGCTGTAGATGGTGCTATTGGCAAAGAACTCACTCCACTTTGGCTACTTAACACCTTAGATGGCAGAAACCACAAATCTTTGGGTTTCACCACAGCAGAAGCAAGGACAAAGGGATGCTTGAACTCTGCACCTGAGCACACCTGGACGCTTACAAGCAGAAGGAGGCTTAGACCGAGGAAGAGGCATCTGTCCCACAAGAACAGCAAGCAGTTACAGCTCTCCACCAATAAGATGGTGGCCTGAATCTGTGCAAAAGGATTCACAGAGGAAGGGTGACCATTTGGTACGGAGACCTATATAAACAGGCTGAGTTAATGAGAATCTTATCTGCTACACATGGGTACCATAAAGCTATGACAGGAAGCGACTCTGTATCAGACAGGCTTATCTGCTTCCAGTCCTATTCATTGTAGGGTGTATGTGAGAACTGCCCTGCCTGATTAGGTGCTCTAAGGGTATAACTTACCCACTGAGGTCATGCCCTGCCTGGCAAAGCTTTTTGTACCACTTTCTGGACCACAGTAGAGACCCCCAACAAGCAGTACAAACCTGCACACTTGTAGACTGGTATGGGAGATAGGTGAAAAACCTGAGAGCTGCCCACAGCCTGCAGATGAAGGCTAAGGGTTTCTGAAATTAAAGCTGTAAAGTCCCCTCTGTGTGACAAGAGCCATCTTGCTGACAGTAGGAGCAGGGACAAACTCCAGCACCAGAACACTTGGTGCAGGCTCCACAGTATCTTAGATCATTACTCTTGGGTCTTGGCCAGGGCAAGGCACCACTCGGCAGCTAATTCCAAGATAGCAACAAAGGCTTGGAGGCAGTAGAGAGAGTGCGCATCACTACAGGAGAGAAAGGAAGCTCCAGAGCCTCTCCAGCCCTTGGATGGCAGCCACGGAGCAGCGCTGCCCGCCAGCTGGAGGCGCAAGCAGTGCCTTGGCTTGCTAAGCTATTATGAGTA